GATAGCAAAAACAAAACAAAAAGATAAACAAGTGCATGCTGCACGACCAGCAGACACCCTATAATCAGCTGCGAGCTGCTGCGACATTAATACATATGCATATGCAACATTTTCCCTCCTTCGACCTTAATTGTTTAAGCAAAAATTCCTGCTTTAATAACATTTTCACTTCAGCGCCGATATTTATCGAAATTTAAAGATCATAAAGCTGACAATTGGTATTTTTTAAATGCCAAAAATCCAGGCAATATAAAGGCATTTTCGATAACGAAGGCAAGATAGTTTGCAATAAACTTTTCCCAGGCAACAATCGATATTTATCGATAGTTGGCAATTTTGCCAAAGGAACCGCTGTTGACAATCGATATTTATCGATAGTTGGCAATAAACTGACTTAGCTCCTGCAACAAGGTTGCCTAAATTCCGAATTTCAAGTTCAAGCTACTCAACTACGATAAATGCTTAAGCAAAGCCGCAGCGATTAGTCAACACAAATCGATTTTGGGTTTGTTATCGATAGTTTGACACGAACTAGAGCTGAGTATGCCCAGCAAAGTTGGCGCTTCTAGCTCCAAGACTTGACTGGGTTTCGCTCTAAGTCTGCACAGAATATCGATCATAGCTGCAATCTATCTAAATCTGTAATCGATTAGGCAAATCAGCAATCTTCGAGTATGTCAAACAGAATGTAATTAAAGCCCATATTAAATAAGTTCCAGTTAAGTGTGGAATACCCCTAATGCTCCAGAGCAGAGCATTTTAAAGTCCATTTGGCGTATGGAATTTTATACGGATTTATTATTGTTGAGCTTTTGTGTTCGTTGTTGTTATCGTTGGGGGGCTGACTTGGCTTTCAATTGTAATGTCAAGTGATTGGTTTCGGTTTTAGCGGACAGAGTCGGGGCAGGGAAATATCAGGTGTGTGTGTGTGTGTGTGTATGAGTTGTGCGTTGTTGGTTTGATTGAATTGCGCGGCATTTAATAATGCAACGAGACGCCGTTCAAATTAAGCTGAGACATTTGAATTGAATTAGCAGCTCTGTACGCTGATTGCGTTTTTATTTTTCTGCTTTCTGTTTCACCTTTTGCCCGGTTTGCACGAGAGGAGGGCAGCGAGTGACTAAAATAAACGGTGTGTAACGAATTATGTGCTTTGGGCAGGCGGCAGACGTAACTGAAAGAGACTTATAACAGTAACTTACAGCAATGCGAGTGACGAGTAACGAGAGGCGATTTAAAAGTAACGAGTTGCGAGCAAAGGGGAGCGTGTGGCGAGGGTGTGGGTTAAAAGAGGATGTCAAAAACAATAACAGCGAGTTTGAAGCATAGCTATTAAAAAGTAACGAGTAAATAGTAGCGAGTAACAATTAACGAGTAGCGAGTTACAAGTTGCAAGGTAGTTGAAAGCGAGTTAAGCGTGACGTTAAACAACGAGCGAGAAAAGCGAGTACCGAATAGGTAGAGACTAAAATTAAAGCCGTATAATAAATATGTTGCACTATATGCACGATAAGATTGCTTAACTTTTTAACTTGCGTTTACTGAGAAGTGCAAAAAAACGTTTAAGACAATGGGATGTAACGAGTAGCTAGTAACAAGTAGCACGCAGCGAGTTCGAGTAGAATAGAGACTAGGCATTCTCACGCAGCGTCTAACTATACAATTATTGACTAGAGAGTCACGAGTAAAGAGAGTAGAATGCCAATTGACGAGTCAAGAGTAACGAGTAGCGAGCAGTGAGTGAGAAGCTGAAAGTAGCGAGTGGTCGCATAGTCATACAAAACGTGACGAAAAATACTTAAACGAATCGAGAAGTGAGTTAGGAACTAACATTAACGAGTAGCGTGTAAAATGTAGCTAAGAACGAGTAGCGAGTAGCGAATACCCAGAAACGGTTTATCCGGTAACCAAAATGAACAAATAAATTAACGAGTAAATGTGAACAGACTCTTGATTGAGTTTAATTTATATGAGACACACAAACAGATTAAATGTGGGTTAATAATAATAAACGAGTAGCGAGTAGCGAGTAGCGAGTGACGAGTGACGAGTGGGAGAAGTAAATGAAATGAATGATTGACATTAGGCAGATGATGGAACTCGCTGCCCGCCCTTAAATTATGCGCGCATGGGGCGGGGCGGGCGGCTTGAGTCTGGCGCGCTAACAAAGACAACGGCATATCTAAGACAATGAAAATGTGAAAATATGTATATCATTTATTTTTGTTCTTTGTTTTTTGTTCGTTTTTGATTTTTGCTCGGCATCATTTGTATGCAAATGAAGTGAAAATCTAATTACGAAAAAATATGCGCGAAATCTAATGACAAAACAAACAATAAGCGACTCGCTGTCTGTGTGTGTGTGTGTGTGTGTGTTGGTGTGATTGAAAATGTTTGTGTTATGTGAGTGATCACATTATATACACACACACACACGCACACACACACACGCACACACACACACACACAGAGAGAAGACGACAATTTGTAATGCGCCAATAAGAATTTATATCAAAGCTTTTCTCGCAAGGCGCAAGGCCCGACTTGAACGAGCGCGACAAAACGAGAAGGACATCACATTACAGCGAAGGGGGGGCAACGCGTTGTTTCGCGCTGCCTACACACAACGCCCACTGATAAGCAGCGGCGGCAACGAAAGACAACAACAACAAACAGCAGCTGGCAGCGACGCCAGCGATAGCTAACGGCACAAGCGACGCCGGCAGCAAGGCAGCACGTGGCGTCAAGCGTTGTAATTCGCTGAAAAATTGACGACACACGACGCGTCGACGTCGGCAGCGCAGCGCCAGCAATTCGTGCCGCAAGCAATTTCGAAGAGCTGCGTATAAGAGCATAATAATAATAGCAACAGCAGCCGGCAAAAATACTGAGTCGGGCACAGTTACAAGGTGGGAACAGATTTGCTGGGAACAGAATTAGCTTGGCTTACAATTTGTACGATAAACAAGAGCATGATCTGGTCGGGTGTGCACGACTGGTAGATACCCTACACCCAGCGAGAATACAGCGCACAAATGTTATACGTTTTCTTTATAGGCAAATACACACACACACACACACACACACACACACACACATGCACACTTGCTTAGCCCTATTTACTGGGAAATATGTTCTATTCTAACTCCGCTTATTATAGTCCGATCTTTATGCAATTTGTGGGGCTTCAATATGGCATACACCAAGGACCAAGGCCCTGCCTTAAAGAATAAATGTTTTTTCCAATTTCACGAGTAATCTGGCAGTTATACAAAAAGTGAAACGTTCTTAAGCTGAGTATATTGTACTTGAATCTTCATACCAATTTTGTCGTAAGTAGCTCTCATAATTCTCGAGTTATGATAAAGAAACCATATCTAAATGTCGATATTTATCGATATTATGAAAATGAGAGCGGGTATGTATATAGCTATATATAGGGTATACCCTAGTCGGGTACTCTCGATTAGAATTGTATGCCTAAGAGGTACAACTCTGCGCTGACTCGAGGTTGGCTGCCTTGCAAATGTGTTCCCTGAATGAAAAGGGAAATTCCTCAAACGAAAATATCCCTCTCAAGAAATATCCCAAAACCTGCGACTTATACGCTGGCCCAGTATTTGTCGAGCTGCTTCGGCTGCGTGCGTTCGTGTCAGCACACGAGCCTGAGATGCCGATTGCCGACTGTCGTCGTCGTCGCTGCTGCCGCTGCTGCCGCTGCTGCTGCTGCTGCTGCGCGACGGGCAGAGCAGCGCGTTGCATATCCTTTGGCGCTGCTATCAGCAGTTCAGTTCGGCAGTGACAAGCCTCAGTCTCGACTCGGATGCAGTTGCAAGCGGACGCGTGCGCTCGACTCCACAAGGAAAAGACAAATGAAATTTTGATAAAGCCGAAGCGAACTCGAAGAACGCGTAAATCATAAACCAGAGAAACTTAAACTTAAACTTAACTTAAATATTAGAAAAAATAAAAAAAAAAAATAAACGACTTTTTTCAAGTTGACCAAATATTGAAAAAAACAACTCAGCATAAACTGAAAACAAGCGAAAAAATATTTTAAAAAAAAAGCCAAAACTTTTTCAAGTCAAATAAAATTTCAAAATAATCTAAAAGAAATGAGAAACATTAAAAAAAAATTAAACTAAAGCAGCAAAAATTGAAAGTAAAATTAAGAATTCAATAAAAATCAAAGTTCAATTAAAAAAAACAATATGCAAACAAACAAAACTAAGTAAGAAAATATGCATAAATGAAAAAAGTTTTTGCTTAAAAAAAGTTGCAAGCGAATTAAATTAAAAAAAAAAAAAAAAGCGCGCGCGTTGGTTAAAGTTTTATTTTTCTCAAGTTTTTTTTTTGTTTTTTTTTCACTCAAGTGCAAAATATGACAAAAAAATATTGAAAAAATAAAAAGTATTCTGAAAAGAAAGCTGAGCGAGAGGGAGAGAGAGCGAGCGAGAGAGAACGTAAGTTTGTGGTGCGGAAATGAAGGATGTCAGTTGTGTGCACATCGAAGAAAGCAACGGAAATTAAAATTTGCATGTGCAGCAGCAGGACACACGGACAGAGAGAGAGCGAGAGAGAGAGAGAGGGAGGCGGTCAGCGGCGGGGCCAAATGCCCAAAATGTGGCCAAGAGACGAGCTGCTGCTGCTGCTGCTGCTGCCAAGGCTCGGTGAAGCCGGCAAACGAATTCAGCACTCAAAAACTCAGCTCGAAGCTGTTTTTTGAATAAACTTGACGGCCAGCTAAAAGGCCAAATAGCCAACAGACAAACAGAGAGAGAGAGAGAGCGAGAGAGAGAGAGAGAGCGAGCGAGAGCGAGAGCGAGATAATCAGATCTGTTGTGCATTAGCTGACAACCAGATAAAACGCTCAACAACATTGACAAGAACTTCATCAACTGCGACAACGTATTTTCGGGTCCACCCCAAAAAGCCACTCTAGCTGCAACTGAGCCACCATCCCCCCTCCCTCCCTCCCCACAATCGCCCCCCTCACCATCATGGCATTGCAGGGACAGACGTTCTGCTTCTCGGCAGCTGGATTTATCGCTTGCTCAGCAATCGTTCTGCTTTGCAGTTCCGGTAAGTGAAATATGCACTCGCAAAATCAAGCACAAAATGTGCTAATACATTAACTGCTCGACTGAACGATACCCTGTTTAAGCGTGCCAATGAGCAAAGCTCTTCATATGTGTCTCTCTTTTACTTTTATGGCCTGCCTAGCAGGATCTTCCTGCTTCCTACTTTGGTCACACTTGAGCCAACTTTAGTTAGTCAAAGCTCACAACTTAATTTAGTTAATCAAAGCTCACAACTTAAGTGTGCTAACTGTGCCTGTAGCAAGTGCTCAGTTCTCCCAATATTGAAATAAAAATGTAAAAATGAAATGCATAGAATTTCGAGTTGAAATAAAATTGAAGCTTAAAAGTTGACTTGAATTGAGCACAAAAAAAAAATACGATTCTTTTTCTTGAATCGAATGATAAATTGAATAAAATATCAATTGTTGGGCTTCATGTTCAAGCGTTTATGAGAACAAAGTAGAAACTTAACTTAATAAACTAATTAAATAATCGAAATCTTTTTTAAATCAAATGTGACGAATCTAGAATAATTCTAGAATTTGAAGAAAACAATCTATAAGTATTCTCTTGGTAAATATCAATCCATATTAGCTCTAGCTGTTGCCATGCTTCAGTTCTCATAGTTTGTTAAGGTCTCAAGAATTTATGAAGTCAATAAAAAAAGTCAAAAGTATTTTGACTCAAAACTAGATGGAAGGTTATTTAGTTAGGATTCTGATCAAGAGAATCACATCAAAATCAAATTGAATTCAATTCAAAATCAAGAATTTTGTGAAGAAACAAAAACAAAATTTTAGAAAGTATTTCAACATAAAACTAGATTGTACGCCATTTTCTTTTCTGAAGAGTTTTTCAAGCTAGGAAAATGGAATTTTAAAAAAAATGTTCCAATATATCGAAATGTCAAGCTAAAGCTTAATAATAAGTTGGGCTCCTAAACTAAAATTATTTATTTATTTAGAAGTAAGAAGAAGAAGTTAGAAAAGAGAAGAAAGGAAACCCAATAAATACATATACATATATATATATATATTGTGAAGAGTTGAGTTCAAGATATAAAATATCAAATTAATACAAATTCGTCTAAAAGCAGAATTTGGTTAGTTTTTTTTCTTATAAAGAATTCTTAGATAAATTCAACAATTTTAGCTCAAGATCAAGAATTTATGAATATAATTAAAAATAATAAATATTAAATAATCAAGAATTTCAACTGAAAATCCGATTTTAAACAATTTTCTTATGAATTTTACAAAAAATTTTCCAACACTGTTGATGTAAACGTTCAGGTTCTCAAAGTGAGTTTGGGGTCCTGATCAAGGATTTACAAATTTAAAAAAAGTAAATAATATGATTTGTACTAAAACTCAAGCTTTTTTGAAGACACGAAAAAAGCAAGAGTCTTAACTCAAAATGCAATTTTCATTATTTTAAATAGATTTAAAAGAGTTGAGTTTTTTTAAGCAAAATTAAAAAACTAAAAAAGGTATCCGACAAATTTGTCAGAGTTGACATATTCAAATCGGCTTCTGATCAAGAATTTATGAATCAAATAAACTAAAAAGAATTTTAACTTAGTTCTAGATTGTAATCTTCCTGAGGTTTTTAAGATAATAAAGTAAATAAATATTCTGTTGATAAATGAGCTGATCTAAAAGCAGAGTTTTAGCTACTTTTGGGGAATTATTCCAGAAATTATTTTGTAGTTATTTCGCACAGCAAAAAAGTGAAGAAATCTAACTCGAAATACAATTGTGCTTGCAGCGATGCATCCCGAATATATAGCTCAGAGTTGAGTTTCCGATACGAACAATCGATATTGATCAATAAATCGATAACGAAATCAATATCAAATCAATTTTCCAGGAAGAATGAAGAATTTATGGATAGAATCAAAATAAATGAATAAGAAACAAAAGACTTTGAACTTAAAATCAAGAATTAAACATTTTTTTTTAATATATTTTCCCTCTGTACTCCATATTTCATTTTCTTTAAGAATAGTTTTACTTAAAATACATTTGTACTTAATTTACATATTTTGTTTTCCAATGGATTCGTAGTAAATATGAGACTTAAACAAAATCAAAGAGCTATTAAGACGCAAAGTTGTGTAAATAACAAGATTTGCTGACTTAATTTAAGTGGAAACAGACTTGATTCTCAAATAAAACTTTAAGTTAAACTAAAAAGAAAAAAAAACTTAGAGAAAAACGCGTGGAACTCGAAAGCCACGGAAAATACAAAAACACAAAAAGTTGCACAACTGAAAAAAACGTGCTTAAAGCAAGCACAATTTGGCTTAAACCAAGTTAAGCATTTGCTTAAACGAAGTTGTTCACAGATTGCTTAAATTGAGAAAAAAGTTCTTGAGGCTTACAAAAAAAAAAAGAAAACGTTTGCATTTTGAAATGATTTGAGCCCGTTAAGCTCGCCTCTGCGAGTCAGGCGCGCCTTTTAGCCCGTTCACTTTACAGGGTATTCGAGGAGCGGCAAACAACATAAAAGTAGAAAATAGAAAAATCGAAAAGTGAATACAATGCGAATCGAGCTGAGCTACAGCCGTGGCAAAACTTGCAGCTCCTCAAACTGTTTATTCATTTATACATTCATTCATACACTCGCACACACACACACACACACACACACACACACACACACACACACACACAGACTGGTCAGTTATTCATGCGAGCAAAACAGCTGAAGAGTTGTTTTTTGTAGTTTATTCCATTTGCCATTTCCATTTTCTGTTTCTATTTCTGTTATTGTTGACGTTGCATCTAGCAATGAAAACGTCATCGAATGTAAAATGTTGTGCGAGGCACATTGCACACACACACACACATACACAGAGCTGGAAGACAAGTTGCCACTTGCAACTTCAGCAATTGCAGCAACTGTTGCAACTGTTGAGTTAATGCATTTTGTTGCACAATAACATAAATATTTTTTCGGCTGCTCCAGTTGCCCGACACACACACACACACACACACACACACACACAGCTGCCTTTGCCCTGAGGCACTTGTGCTTTATGACCTTGTTGCAAGCTACAAATTAAAGGCCCACCTCTTGCCAGCTCTTCAACTAGCCCGAATTCTCAGCGGAATAAGCCCATCACAGTGCTCGCTCGCTATAACGAACTAACTTGTATATGTTGTATGCACGTTTGCATCTTAAATTGATATAAAAAGGCCTACAGTCGTTGAAGCTAGGCGGCTGCTGCATTTGAACTGGCGACTTCTCGCTTGCCGGTTCGCATATGCCACACTTATGACAGTGCTCGCTCGTTATAGCAAACTCCTAATCAGCATCGATTTATTCTATATGTTTCCACTAACAAAGTTAAGCAGCTAATGAATTTGAACTGGCGACTTCTCGTTTACCGGTTCGAATATGCCACAAATACGACAGTGCTCGCTCGTTATAACAAACTTTCAGGCATAAGCATCTACAATCTATAAAAAAAAAGCGTGTGAAGCTAGGCGGCTGCTTAGTTAGAACTGGCGACTTCTCGTTTGCCGGTTCGAATATGCCACACATACTGACAACAGTGCTCGTTCACACCATAACGAACATTCATATACACTTTTCATATACAATACATTTGCATTTATATAAGGCAGCTGCTGAACTGGCGATTTCTCGTTTGCTGGTTCGAATATGCCGCTTGCTATAGCAAACATTTATATACGATTTGTATTCACATTTTCCATGCTTTTGCATCTATATAAGAAAGCGTTTAACCCTGGCGACGTTTTGAACTGGCGACTTCTCGCTTATTGGTTCGATGCAGCCTCGATTATAGATTCGGTTCATGCAACCATCAAAATGAAAAGTGCAGGTTCTAATTGGTGCACTAGCTGTCAGACTGGCAAAGCCTCGACAAACTAAGCACAAAGTTTAGAGATCGAGCTCCCGAAAAGACGAAGATAAACGTAATCATTTCAAGAATAGAATAACTTTGATTAATTAATAAGTATTGTGAATTAGGTCAACCTTTTTTGGATAGCCTGGCTAAGACCCTGGCCTAGCCTGGGCTCGTTTGCCGCCGTGTAGGTCCGGCTGCTGCATCAAACCCAAATGGACGACCGTTTGGCATGCAAGGCAATTGATTAGAGCTGAATCACAAGTGTTAATAAATTGGCAATTTCAGCATTCAGTGATAAATAATCAATAAATAACGTGCAACAATTCCTAGTTTATTATTGGCACACAATCATTTTTCTAAATTCAAACACTTCTCAGATAATTTAATTAGATAAGTGCCACACACACACACAAAATAATCTTTGCGTTGTGCTTAAATATCGAGATGAGTTTTTGTTTTCAATTCGATTTAACGCTTTGAGACTTTGAAATATTTATTGTTAAAAATACTTCAAATTAAATGTACAACTCTTCAACATCACCAGAGACGAGGGGGCGTGGCACTGAGGGGCAGAGCGCATTGATATATTTGAATATGCGGAAAAGTTCAATTTTTCATTAAGTGCATATTTTTCGTTTTTTCATTCTATGTATTTTTTGTGTTGCAGCTCTTCTTGCACTTGAAATTCACCTTCTGCATTTCATATTTACCAAGTCCGAGCAGCTAGAGGGGGCGGAAGGGGGAGGGGGGCGGGGCGGGGCGTACCAGGAACCTATCGATTGTTGAAAGCCAAGTTAAAACTTCAAATATGAGAAAGAAGTTAAAGAAGTGCGCGAATATTCCAGAAATGAGAAACAAGTAAGAAAAGTTTCCGAATCTGGCAGATTCCAGCTTTCTTCTATGCATAACACGCGCAGCGCTTGTGCTTCTTCTTCGCTTCATTTTCGCTTCTTCAGCGTCTGTGCTTCTTTTTTGGTTCTTTGCTTCTTCCTCGTCTGTGCTTCTTCTTTGCTTCTTCCTCCCTTGTGCTCCTTCTTCTTCTCGTCTGCTTTTTCTTCTTCACTGTTTCAGAGTCTGTGCATCTTTGCTTCTTCCTCGTCTGTGCTTCTTCTTTGCTTCTTCCT